GATCGAGCAAAAATATTGTACTCTTTACATTGATGCTGTTTTTTACCTCTTGTCAACTAATGTCGTTAAGGACAATTTTTCTCTACAAATTCAAATTGAACCAAAGCGCTACCGAAACAAACCGAAAAATTAATCAGGCATTTAGCAATGATATTGTTAATGAACGCAATGGTCGACGTTGGTTTGCGAAATTTCGTTTCGGAGATTTTAACCTCGAAGACGAGCCCCGAAGTGGACGGCCCACGGAAATCCAGGACGAGGATTTGAAGATCCTGGTGGAGACTGATCTACCATAAACGGGGCGTGGAAGGTCCGGCATTAGCTCCCATGCGGTTTTAAGTGGTTCAAAACGTATTGGAATGACGAAAATGCTTAAAAAAATGGATGCCCCACGATTTGAACGATCGAAAGAAATGGTCACATTTCAAGGTCTGTTCTTCTCTGCTTTTGCGCAACCAAAACGAAAGTGGATCCTTTACAACAGGACACGTTCGTTCAGGATGGTAGTTGGACACTGATGAGCTACCCAGGCACTTTTCAAAGGCGAGAACCCACCAAAAAAACAGCATAGTGGTCAGCGGCTGGTGTAATTCACTGTAACTTTCTGCAGCCGGGCCAAACCATCACAGCAGAGTGAGGAGCAGCAGCCCACACTGATGGTCAACAGAAGATGTTTGATCCTGCTCCACAGTAACGCCCGTCCGCACGTTTCACAAATCACCGTCCGAAAATTGAACGAATCGAGCGTCAAAGTTCTGCCCCCCAACCGTACTCTCCAGACCTCTAGCTAACTGACTACAATATTTTCAAGCATTCCGATAACTTTCTCACCGGTAGAATCATTGCCAATCAGGACCAGGCAAAAGCGGCCTATGTCGACGTCATCGAATCCCGAGCACACAATTTTTGTGCTGACGGAATTAATCGGTGATTTAATTGAATAAGTATTTACTGATATATTATAGTTCAACGGATCGTTTTGGTTGAGCAAAAGCAAAGAAGAACAGACCTCGAAACGTGGCATTTTTTGTCGATCTATCAAATCGTGTGGCACCTACTTTTCGAGCTCTTTGACTTTTCAATACGTTTCAAACCATTAAAAACCGCACGAGAGCTTCGGCCATCCTACGCACAATTTGTGATGAATAAGTCTCCACGATGGTTCTCAAATCCTCGTCCTGGATTACTGATGGTTCACCGATGACTGGTGATTTCTAGTTCGTAAGCTGTATTTGTGTTGACAAAGGTAGCCCGCCTTTCTAATTGGTGCGTTGTTATTGGTCGAAGTGTTATTACCTGTTACATTGTATTGCACTGCTACCACCTTAGCATCTTTGGCCGAAGTGTTATTACCTGTTGCACTGCTGCCACCTTAGCATCTTTTAGTATGGGTTTCCAAATCCGGTTAAGCGTTATCGCCTCCTCTTTTCTGTTGTAGTTTTCCGTATGTTTGTGGATTTCTATGGCTTCCCGTACAAGCCGACCGTTGTATTTTCACATCTTCAAACAGTATCGTATGATCTCCTTCACTAAACGCGTGTTCCGCTACTGCCGATTTTTCTATTTGACCTAATCTATAGTTTCTCCGATGTTCATTCAGCCTTGTACCATGGATCTTTTGGTGGTACCGATATAAACTTTTCCGCAGGTGCATGGTATACGGTATACCCCAGCAGCTGATAGTGGAACTCTTTTGTCTTTCGCAAATCACAGGTTTTGCTGTATTTTCCTGGTGGGCTTGAACATTGTTTTTATGTTATGTTTTGCTTCCTTAGGATTTTTCAGGTTTTATCTGTAACTCTAGGGATGTACGGTAGAAACGCACGTACAACCGTTTGACATGTAGACGTCTTCAGTTTCATGGCCTTGTTGATCTCGGTTACACTGTAGATTATAACATTGAATATCTTGGCTGCGAAAGCCTTAATCAACTCATAATTTTGATTTTAAATATTGAAAAAAAACCCAGCGTGGCCCTTTCATGCTTCCGTATGATGCCGTTTAGTTACGTATAGTGTGTAAATTCTGAGTTGAAGATTTAAATTTTCTTGTTTCCGAATGACCACCGTTTAGTTACATAACGTTTAAATTCTCAGTTGAAGATTATAATTTCTGAGTTAAAGATCGGAAGTTTCGAGTTGAAAGTCATACAAATATAATTCTGAATTTCAATAAAACAAAGAAAATAACTAGGTTTCCCTTTCATGCTTCGTTCTCGCCTTTTAGTTATGTAACGACTAAATTCTGAGTTGAATATTGGAAGTTCGGAGTTACAAGTTAGAAAAAGACAATTCTGAGTTTAAATAAAGTAGAAAATCGAATAATAACTAGCGTGACCCTTTCATGCTTCCGTATGACCGCCGTTAAGTTATGTAACGTCTAAATTCAGAGAAAAAGATCGAAATTTCCGAGTTGAAGGAAAGAAGTTCCGAATTAGAAGTCGAAAAAATATTTTGAGTTTCAATAAATAAAAAAAAATAACTAGTGTGGCTCTTTCATGCTTCCGTATGACCGCCGTTTAGTGATGTAACGACTAAATCTTGAGTGGAACATGAAAATTTCCGAGTTATATATCGGAACTAACGAGATAGAATTCAGAAAAATATAATTTCTAGTTGAAATGAAAAAAAAGTTTCGTGGCCCTTTTATGCTTCTGTATATTAGTATATTACGTAACGTCTGAATTCTCATTTGGAGTTTGGAATTTCTGAGTAAAAGATCGGAAGTTCCGGGTTAGGAGTCATAAGAATATTATTTTAAGTTTCAGAATAAGTTTAAGAATGTAATTTCCAAGTGAAAGATCGATAGTTCCGAATGAAAAGTGTGAAAAATATAATTCTGAGTCGCTATAGAAAAAACTAGCGTGGCCCTTTCAAGATTCCATATGAAGCCGTTCAGTTACGTAACATATAAATTCTGATTTTAAAAAATTCGGAATTTTCGCGTTGAAGATCGGAATTTTTGAGTTAAAGATCGGAAGTTCAGAGTTGAAAGTCAGAAAAATATTAATCAGCGTTCCAGTAAGGAAAAAATAAAAAAAATAATTATCTTGGCCCTTTTATGCTTCCGTTTAGTTACGTAACGTTCAATTTCTGAATTAAAATCGAAATTTTCCATTTTATAGATTGAAAGTTCCGAGATAGAAGTCAGGAAAATATAATTTTGAGTTCAAATTAGAGAAAAAAAACTTTCATGGCTTTTTCATGTTTCCGTATGACCACCGCTTAGTTACGTAACGTTTAAATTCTCAGTTAAAGATTGGAATTTTTGAGTTGAAGATCGGAAGTTCTGACGTAGAAGTCGGAAAAATATTGTTCTGAGTTTAAATGGGGAAAAAAATAAAAAATAACTAGCGTGGTCCTGTCATACTTTCCAACTTGCTCGTATTCGTTTTTCCGAGATTAATGTAGTAGGTAATTTTCGAGTTACATGTCAGAAAAATATAATCCCGAGTTGAAAGTTAGAGAAATAAAAAATAACAACTGTGGCCTGTCTCCGCTTTCGCGCAGACTTGTAAAGCAACGAGAAAATACCTAAAGAACTGACGTCTCAAATTATATCGTCATCGCCATCTATCACAATTTTTGCCGATTCGACGTACGTTCTGATTCAGTAATATATGATCAGAATGACCGTTGTAAATAGGATATTGTGGCGCCTGTCCACTCTTCCCCGTACGTACTTATCACGAGCGCTCCAGTCAAGAAAATTTAGGAGCCACCAAGTAGTCAGTTACTGACAGGCTACCGTTCAGTCAGGTCTGATTCAAACAAACGAATATTTCCGGGATCACAGCAAAAAAGTGTTGAATGTGCGAAGCCGACTTCGATTAAAATAAAGTGAAACAAGTGACCTGATGGTAAATTTCGGATTCGATATGTCGGTCCTGCTCCTGTCCATCCTCGGCGTTTCTTCCGGATTGCAGCACTGTCCGATGTGGAAGGAAATCTCGCCGTGTTCTTGCAGGTTGGACACCTTCAAAATCACTACGATTAGTTGCGAGAGGATGTCTTCGTTCCAACAGGTGATAAGCACTCTAGGGGGGCACTTTCAACCGGGTGACAAAGTGACTCTAAGACTGGCCTCTTCGACATTAGAAGATCTCAATTATCGGTCGTTCAGCGAGCTTAATATGACAATTGAGAACCTGAAGTTGAATCACAATGTTATTGGGTAAGCCGAAAATATTTTTGAAGTGAATGTAGGCGGAACGGAATTTTTTGATTATACTATAAATTATATAAATGTATTCATAAATGCAAACACGGACAGGCGTATTTTGAAATGACAAAAAAATCTTCCTTCACCTATTTGACCTGCAGTGAAATAATCTGAACTCTATCATACAAAAAGTACGTTTTTTCAATAATTAGATAATATTTCAAATATATTTCGAAGCCGGCGTTGAATTAAAACTAAACTTTCCATGTAAATCTGAGTTGAGATTATTTGAACCAAAACTTGAATGACACCTACTTATAATGACTTTTTATTAATTGTTTTTTACAAAATTGGGATGGTTCCCATTTATAACTCCTCTTTTGAATGGAGAAAAAATGAATCCCCTCAAAAGTTTGACAACCGTGTTATATATCAAATGAATTTCTATATAAATGAAATAATGAAATGAAATAATTATTCTTCGTTAACCGAATACAATGAAATAGTTTGGTTCAAAAAAATAAAAAAAAATCTAATCTATATTCTTTGTTTAGTACTGAAATGGTACCTACTTAAAGGTGTTTCTAACTCATATATCAATAATAATTTCAATTTCAAGTCAAAATAATTTGATTCCTTTACAAATAAGCATTCTTTTACTTTCTCACATTTCATTAGTATTTATTTCCTTCGTATATAATATTTTTGATCTCCAATATTCAGCAATGAAAAACATCAAAAACCACATTCAAACATGTAAGATAAAATATTGTCTTGGGAGGCAGTAAGTATCCATTTAAAAGGCAGACGGATTTCTGAAATAATAGAGTAATTTTCACTTTTTCTATTCCAAAAATGTAATTTGAAGAATACTGGAAAAAAAATTACTGTGGACATCTGATGTTTCACAATACAGCCTCAAAATAGGGATTTAGCGAAACTGGACGTGACGTCATCAGATATATTAAATGCAGAGCTATCTAGGAATCGCCATTAGTCTGAGACTTTTTTGTTTAAGTGATATGAAAGTTAAATTATTTTTTGTTTTTTCATTCATCTGTTTATGTTGCAAAAGTATGTGGGATAAAGAAGTCCCAAAAAGTTATGTAAAGTATATGAATGGGTTTAATTATTCAACCCGAAATCCATCAAATCAATTATTTGTAACTGTGACCCATAATGACAAAGTTAACAGAGCCTTCCAAATATACGTTCAAAATGTATCCCTTCAATTTTATTTATCATTGCTGCAAAAATTCAAATTTGAATAATTGAATTTCAGAAACGGTTTCGATAAAAAACTCAGTCCGTATTCTTATTGAAGCATTCCATAATCATGGATAAACTCATTTGTTTCAAATTACTTGTGTCTGACTGAATACAACTTTTCCAGTCCTATCTTCATTCTAACCTTAATATATTAAATGCTTCGCTCCACAACAGTTCAGACTTAGTTGGGACGCTGTACCGACAATGAAACATATCTTGTGACGTGACACTAGCTTGCGACAATCACGCAGTCTTTACCTTGGTAATGGTATATCGCATCGATTTTAAAATGTTGGTATTGTATTTTGGACCTAGCTGCAAATAGCTCAGGATTCTGTATGCCTACCGCGTGAAAAAACCTAAATTCAGTCAATGACAATTTAATTTTGCTGAACAGCACCGATGTTCATGAAAATTTGGTTTTAGGTTTTTATTCTCTACTTCAAAGTTGATCCGTTACCGGCGATTGCTTTTACCCTGAGGGTAGGGTCATCCCTTCTCAGGGATGAAAAAATCCCATTCTCTTCCTGTTTTCCTTTCATTCTCATATATTCCTGCCCATCCTATCCCAACTCGTCCTACTTCACTTTTTACACCAGAGCCCACATGTACCATGTTCACAGATTCATCCTCCTCAAGCAACATACCATGCATCCTGCTAGAAACCGCACGTTCAAAGGTATGACTTCATTAATCTTTAACTCGCAAAATTTTCGACCTTTGAAGGTTGTCTTCCGGAAAAGGCGCCAGCTGGTTAATGAAAAAACAGTTTTGTTGATAGATTCCACGTTTTCAGGCGAGTAGTTTTACTTCTCTAACTCTTGCTCGAATAATTTTGACTCAATTCATCAAATATCTCGTTTCGATATATACAGGAGTTTTGCCTCTCAGCGACGTTGATGCCATCCTTCAGGCACAAGTGATCGCTAATAAAGACATTCATCGTGCTGTGCTTAGCTGCCTCTCAATCCTTGAATCGTTTGCTCTGATTCCCCATGCTAGTACACCATACAAGGCCTTATGTTAAGCCACTCGTTTGTAAAGTATTCGCACACATTCTCTCCTTAACCTGACATTTATGCCGGTATATCTCCTCAGTTCAACCGTAATCTTAGTCTTTTGTGTACCTCTTTAGGGCGTTCAACAAACAGTAAACCTCTCCTAGATACAAACATTCATCCCTTTCCGTATTCTCTTCCCATTCACCCTAATGACCGGCAACCTTACATATTTTCTTCCTGGTATGAATATACATTCCATCTTTTCCTCATTATAATTCAGGCACATTTTATCCTCCCGCTCCTTACACACATCCCATATCAGATTCCATCTGTGCTCTATCTCATCCATCATGCTTATCTCAACGATTATCAGTTATTATCCGCACGTGTGCTCTATTTACCATTATACATTTCTCCACTTTCAATCTCATCATTCTATCAAACCATTTTTCAATGATTGTGGGCCAGAGCGGCTTATAATCCCAAACTAGACCCCTGCGGACACTCCCGATCCACAGCTTCCGAGATGTCGGCGGTATCGACTTCTCTTCTCTTTGTAAAATCCCCATATAGCCCTCCCACATTATCTGGCATACCCATCCTCTTCATATTCTCTACAATCGCTGGTGCCCATTTTGTATTAAAGGCGTTGATCGGGTCTAAAACCACAATCAAACTGTGTCTCTTTCTTATTCTTTTTCATTGTATTCACCATCTGAAACTAAATTGATAACGCGTGAACTTCGTATCTTTCGCACACCAACTTTATACTCTACCACTAAGAAGCCTGTTCAAGATCCGTTCCATAAATGTCAGCAACCTAATAGCCCTAAGATTTCAGTACTCCTTAGGTTTTCGTAATACCATGGTTTTCTTCCATAACCAAGGGAAATAACACCTAACTAAACAGGCCTAATCATCTGTTCAGCAAAGTTCCTCATGTCCTCTTTACTGGCAGTCCATCTATGGCAGTAGCCATATCATCCTCAAGCTCTCTGCTGTTGCCAGCAGTTCAGCCAGTGGCCCATTTCTTCAGGCGTTTTCAGTACCAACTACAATTGTATCATAACTAGCAGTGAGAAATTAAATCACCTTGATTAGGGGCTGTTGCTACAACTATAGAACACTTGCCAAGCTTGTTTAATAAAAAAATCAAGTTCTTTGGAAAGGTATGTACAACTAATGGACTCTCACATTAGGAATTTGTAATGGAGAGTGAGAAACCTTAACCTTCTTTATTGTTTATTCTCCACAATGATAATAACTATAGGTCACTCAAAAAAAACTATACCTTAATCTCAACCTAACCTAACAGCACATTATGAACAGAAAATGCAAACAATTGATGAAATAATAATAAAACCCTTGGGCGTAACGTAACCTGAGTAAATATAGGGTGTAACTAAATAAGTGTAAAACATTTAAGGAGGTGATTCCTCATCGAAAAAAAGATAATCTTTCATATAAAGAAATTTCATTGGAGCATCCCTTGTTAAGATACAGCCCCTTAAATGAGNTTTGCAGTGCTTGTGAAAAAAAGTGTTATACAAATTTTATGTACCCCCTTTAAGTGGCTGTATCTAAACAAGGGATGCTCCAATGAAGTTTCTTTATATGAAAGATCCTATATTTTTTTCGATGAGAAATCACCTCCTTAAATGTTTTACACTTATTCAGTTACACCCTATATAGTATAAATACTACTCTCAACTATTTTATTTCATTTTTATCTAATCAATACCGTAGATTGCTGGAGAAAATGGTGTGATGACTGCTACCTAGGACCGTCCGAATTATTTTTTAGTTTTTAGTACATTATCTACATCATTATTATCTTTTTTTCAATAAAACCGTTTACATATTTTTTTTACTCATTTTATTTTCAAGTTTTTAGTTTCTAATTTTGTTACTCAATTCTTCTCAGTATTACAAGTATTGTATTTTTTTCAAAGTGTACTACTATTCTACTAGTCAAGCCCTGTCATTTGATACCCATATTGAGGTAGTTGTGAAAAAATATGTTATCCGCCATTTTGTAGCTTCGGCCATTTTGAATTTACAATGATACAGAATTTTTCAAATTGTATTGTCATCAAAACTAAATGTGTGTATCGAATATTAGATCAATATGTCAACAGGAAGCGGGTCAAACATCAATAACTAAATTTGACCCAAACAAATAAATAAACAAACAGGGCAAGCTGAATAAAACTGTTTAATTGAAAGTGAGGTTATCATTATTGGAGGGCTTATATGTGACTGAAAATTTTGTAAGGTTATTCTAATTGTTCAAATCATGCATATCATAATTATTTGTAAAATGTTTACCGATATTACAAATGTAAATACAAGTTTCAAATAGGTATAAATAAACCAGTCAGTTGAACATTTTTTTCAACGTCTCGCCAGCTACAATAACGATATATGCTTTTATCACACTTCACTTTTTGTGAAGGATTAGGAGATTTTTATGGACTTTTTTGGAAAATTTTCACTTTTCACAGTTGAAAAAAATTAAGATTGTAATGGACAACTTTATACTAGTGTAGAAAGGGCGAAATTTTAGTTCACCCTGATGAGTTAGCGCGTAAATTGCATATCTTTTGCATGAACTATACGATCTAGGTTCTAGGAAGCAGGGAAAAATACCGTGTCCTCTTTTAATGAATGAATACTTAAATCTTTTCAAACGGTTATCAATTTACTCTATTTATCATTTAACCTTCTGTATTCATTTGTAAC